ATTGTCCAGGTCGGTCCCGCGCCTTGCCGCTCTCGCTCGGCATTGCTGCGCTGTGATGCCTAGGCCTCTGCCGCTAGCGGCAGCCAGTTCCACGGCGCGGTAGAATTCATGATACGGTGTGACTGTCAAGTGTTTACCATTTAAGCATGCATGTGTGTACTGTACTGTATTGCATTCAATCAAGCGCGCGCCGCCGCGCGCGCGTATATATACGTGTGCCTGTGCGCGTGCTTGCGTGTGTGCCTGTGCGCGTGCGTGCGTACCGGCGCCTGCGGGCATGCTTGCGTGTGTGCCTGCATGCGTGCCTGTGTGTGCCGGTGTGCCTGCGGGCGTGCTTGCGTGTGTGCCTGCGCGCGTGCTTGCGTGTGTGCCTGCGCGCGTGCATGTGTGCGCGTGCGTGCGTGCTTGCGCGCGTGCGTGCCTGCATGCGCGTGGGTGTGCCTGCGGGCGTGCCTACGTAGACCCGTAGGACCAACGACCCGTAGGATTATAGAACGGTAATCCATGGAAAATCCTAATGAAATTCACCTGTATATTTTTCCCTGTCGGCACACTCGTGTGTCATTCCCGATTGTAGCTTTTTCGTCAATTCCCCGAAAGAGTTTTGCTGTCGCTCTCTCATAGTCCAGCAATGCCCCAACCCTCTACATTTTAGTAGCGATTAGTACCACGCTGAAACAATCGTGCCCCCCCTCCCGTACTTCAATCAATGCCACCCCTGCCAGCAGGCACGTACGCAGCGTCGATGTGCACGGCCCTGGACCCCAGCCGCAAGTGTGTGTGCGTGTGCGTGTGCGTGCGCGTGCACGCGTGTGTGTGCGTGTGCGTGTGCGTGCGCGTGCACGCGTGCCCGCGAGTGTGTATTAGCTACTGTGCTTGTGTGTATATTTAAGGAAACAACCCTGGAAAAAACTCGCCCTGGAAAGTGAAAAAAGAGCCCTGGAAAATGAAAAAGTAGCCTCCGATATTTTGGGGGGGTTTGCAAAAAGCCCCAGAAAAAAAAAATTTATCACTGAAGGCCCTTATTTTATTTTTGGCAAAATAAGTACTTAAATAAGACTTTGGAAGACCCACTACGAACCAGGGAGAGAACAAGTTGAGTTGAATTCACACACGCATGACGACGGGAAGTAAATACGAAACACGCCGCGCAAAACGTTTGCTTTCGTTTCCAAAGTGCGCCGTGCTCACACGTTTTTGCAAGGCATCGGCGCACAAATATTCACTTGCGTCCGCTTTTTTTGCCTCGAGTGCACACTCATGAATACGGAATTGTGTCAGTTTAGATACACGTAAACGAGTTTAACTCTACTGTGTGATGGGATGGCAGGGGTAGAAATGAACTTTTGAACACGGGAGTCCAACGGACTCCCTACCCTCAAAAAGAGGGAGTCCGCTGTCAGAGGTTCAAAATTAAAGATATTAACAATAACGCATGTGCTTATTTTTAAGATTTTCTTATTTGCCAAATTTTCTTTGGACATTAGCTGAAAAAATATGATAATTCCACGAGGCCGTGCTCCGGAACGAACTAGTAGTTAGTATGGCAGAATATTCAGGGAGTCACACGGACTCCTGCATATGTCAAATCAGGGAGTCTGACAGTAAATAAGGGAGTATTTGACTCCGAACTCCCGTTAATTTCGCACCCTGGGATGGGGGTCAAGGAGCAAACCGTGATACTAGCATAACTTGTTCTCCAAAATACAGTCTCACTCTCATACAGGGAGCCATGAATCACCCATTTTGAGCTTTGCAAGGTTTTGCCGGCAGTTGTGCACATAGATATATAGAATAACAGAGATTTTGCTAATATCTGTTCAACATCAGGATACAGGGGGGCATTGGCAGTAACTATACGGCTGGCAGGCAGTATAGGCAGTAACTACATACGTACACACACTGTCACATAATAATAGCAAATAAACCTACACACACATATACACACATACATACAAGTGTGGGTGCATCTGGGAACAAGCATGCTTACACAGTTTGTATCTATCTATCTATATATATTTACACTTTACAGTCAGCATTCCACCTTAATTAATGCTTGCAAGATGTGGGACAGCTGTGCATAACCATAACATGGTTGGATGCTGCTAGGATGCATCGTACCACAACATCGGGAAATTCGAAATTATCTCACTAGATGGCAACACTGTCCCCACTCTATTCCCCGACAGTAAGATGTTCGCATATATGCCATCAAACCCACTTGGTACAATGAGAGTGAACTCAAAATTTCTAGGGAATTAGACATTTTATTACTAGTTCGCACAAGTTATCATCGCACGTTTTTGTGCTTAGTTTCATGAATAATTGCAATGAAATGGTTTGCAAATTTTAAATTTTCATAAAATTCATTTATTTTTGTTGTTATCATTAATCAAATCATTGATATTTGAATATTGCTTTCTTTAACATGCTTGGCACCTCATTTAAGCAATTAGATGATTCTACAATACCATATTTGATAAATATCATAAAAATTCTCCCAATAATCATAGAATTTATAGCTTACATTAGGCAGTTCAATAATTAACAGTTTTCAGCACACATTATCTCTAGATTTGTCAACCAAACTGGGAAATTTTCAGTCAGAGCAACACAATTTTAAGAAAGCACAAATACAAGTTCTTTTCATACAAGATATATATTGTACCAAAATATGCTATGTTCCCCTGGCCAAAAAGGTGTGTGAGGTACGTAGTAATTTTTGTGTGTGTTTGCGCGTTTCGAGGTCCTAGCAAAGTGAGCACCGCAGATGCTCGTCCAGCTAGAGGGGTCAGGGGGCATGCCCCCGGCAACGGAATTTTTTTGAAAAAATGGTGCAATTTCGTGAATTCTAATCTATATTTCGATTTTAGTTCAATAAAGTGTAGTCTATGGATGGAAGAACAGTGATTAATGTCAGCGAGGCGGTGTTTTGGACAAATTTCTGTGTGGCAGCTGAGAATTTGAGTGAGGTGGCCCGCCTCGCTCGTGTCAATGCAAGAGAAACACTGTATGGTATTATTGATATACCGGTACCAGGGCTCGACTTTAACGGTGGCCCGGGTGCCAATGGCCACCTGAAACGGCGTCGGGCCACCTGAAACTGTCGGGTTGGTGGCCCGCCTGGCCACCAATAAAAATAAGGCCGTGGCTACGCGACCGCCGGACGAGGAGCCGCTAGGCTACGCGTCCGGACATTCATCTCACACAGAGATCTTGCGACACGTACACGCATGATTGCGCAAGGGGACGCTCTGCTGATTGCCGTGTGTGTGTGTGTGACGTGTGTGCGTGTGCGGCTGCACGTGCGCGTGTGCATGTGTACGTGTGTGCGTGCGTGTGTGTGTGTGTGTGTGTGTGTGTGTGTGCCCGTGTGCGTGTGTGTGCGCGTGCGCGTGTGCGTGTGTGTACGTGTGGTTTACTGGAAGCAGATTCTGAGAATGTGAATCGCAACAAGAAACAATGCTTTACTTGGCCTAAATCAAAACAGTAGTGCACGTGCAATCTATTCGCTACCCATCAGCTGTATGGGTTCGTTGCGCAATTCATTTCTCCACGAGTTCAAGACAAGTGCGTACATACCAGAGTGTTGTTTCCTCTTTGATTTTGATTACGATATGATTTGATTTTATGATTAGACTCTGATGGGTCTGACCCCATGTCAGAAATTGATTCTGATTCATCAGGTCTAAGGTTCACATGACAGTCTCACTGACATTGAATGATTGAAGGACAGTTTTGATTGACATCTTAATGACATGAGTTCTGCTACTTAATAAAGATACTGCCAGAGAATTTGAAAGCTTTTTAATATTTGGGAAATTATTTAACTCAGTCAGGGTTTTGTTCTTTCTTTGTTGTTGTCGTAATCTAGCTATGTTATTGCGATTATTTGCCAAAACACATTACCCATAGTTAGGATACAAATAAATTATTTAATAAATGTAGCAACCGGGCCTTGCAACCTAAAAATCCATTTGGCCACCTTAATCTCATACTCAAGTGGCCCGGCCGGCCACCTGATAAAAAAGTCAAGGGCAATCCCTGCGGTACGTATGCATTTTTCTGGGGAGGGTCTGTAGAGCTCTTCCATCAAATTCTCAAAGAGGTCCATGACTCAAAAAAGATTAGGAACCACTGTGCTAAGCTAATCCGGGGTGTTAAACTAGAGCTGGACTGCGTGCACCTGCCGCTCTGCACCTTAACCGTCAACCCTCGCGCCGGCAGACGAGCGCTGGTAGCCGTGACGATAGCTGCAGCTGCACGCGCTGTCGCTGCACACCTGCTGGTCGTCGTCATGCTGGGGAGGGAGGGAAGGGGGGGGAATTATTATTTTTGACTGGTCTCACCTTCAGTGTGTTTGTGGACAGCTTGTTCATCCTGTCGATCTGGTTTAGCTTGCTGTAGGAAGACTGCATGCTCGACGGTGTATTGTCGGCAAACGCAGATGAGTTGTGACTGTGCTGAGCGCCCGTACACTCTGCTGTGTCACCTCCACAGCCTTTACCCCCAGCAGAGGCTGTGGCCATCTTTGTTTTTCTTTCTTGATCAGTCGATCTCTTTCTGTCCGTTATAATAACGAACTAAGGTGGTCCACGGGCGATCGACCCTATTCAGTTTATACTATACAGTCTGCGGTAGACGGAACTCCTCATGGATGCACGTAGATGTGTCTGCAAAAGCAGAAACACAATAAATATTTACGATTAATTTCACAACCAAGCTGATTCAGATTTCCAAACATGGTGGACGCTCACGTGACCACCCCGGAGCCGCGATGATTTGAAATAATCGCTGTTAAACAATCAAAGCGCCCGAGTTTAATGGGAATATTATTTTATACTGTTCCAATAAATTATTTTCACTCTCACATTTTGGCGACTACTCATTTTTCTTCACCTTTTTCCCTTTTTTGTGCGTTCCTTTTTCCGTATCCATTTCCGCTGCCATGTCCGAGCCTTATGGCGACACCTTTCGGAACGAAATGATACGAGCCGATAGGCACTTCTGTCGAAAACTGTCGTCAACCTCCTTCAAAGTTTACATCGTTTTCAGACGTTGTCTAACATCTTTAATTAATGGGAACATTTTACACGGCTTCTCTTAAATAACGCAGGACGTAAACATAGCGCGATGAGCTCCAAACTGCTAGCAAGTGCCGCACTGTCGGCGTCTTCCAATATGGTGCTACAGGTATTTGTAATTGAAAGCCTCAAAGAGCAATGACACAGTAACAGAACAGTAGAAATGTAAACAAACTCAGATGATTAACTCAGTGACAGTGAGACTAAAGCCGCTGGGTATGCTGGCATGCACATAGGTGTGCTGCCATAGCATTGCTTAAATGGACTGGTGTACCCAGTGATACTCTAGCTGTACTGTAGCTCTAACTCCAAAAAACGGTATTGCTAGGGTTAGAATACCGGTACCTAGTCCTGTGACATTGGTCACACAGCCTGGTCGGGCTAGCTGTAGGCCTACTGATGTTAGCTCTAGAAGTAGACTAGAACTATAGTCCTTTGCAATGCGCAGAGCGAAGGGCTATAG